TATCAATGGAAAAGATCACTGTATATTTCTATGCAGTGTGCTTTATATTACAGCAATCTTTCCATGAGAAAGTGTATGCAACACCCTAGTTGACTGACCTAACTCTATGAGTAACCAGGGAAAGAGGAACTCAGTGCCTCCCATGACTGAGTTTTTATATTAAGAACTGCTGCTCAATATGCAAAAAGTTTGAAAAAATTATATATTAACTCCGTCCATATGGATTTGGTCATTTTGACTGACCTTTTAACTACCAGGTAACTATGAAAGCTTCCATACTGTAGCTCTTAATGTGGTACGCGTATTTCACGAAATTTGCTAAGCTTTTGGTAAACATTACAAGTCTTTCCTACATAAAAAACAAAATCAGATTGTTCAGTTAAATATCTTACTAAGTTTTGTCAGTGAACATATGAAGTCAGACTGTTGACTAGCCTAGGTGCAAGGTGATTTTCATGTTAAGATTATAAATACTTTTATTTATTTTACAGTTTCAGATATTTACATTATCTCACAAACAGCTCATTTTAGTAACACTTTCTTGGCTTTTGACAAGACCTTGCAGGTCTAGGCTAGTTCTGACTCAAGCCACTGCATCACCTTCTGGCTGCTGTGATGAGGATTTGCTGTACGTCAGTACAACTGATCCACCTCTGGTATATAACATCCATCTAGTGATCAATATTTGCTCACACATAGGCCACTGAGTGATGATTATTAGATGTTGTTGACAAGGTGAATGACACAGAACAATAGGTAGCTAGATCAAAAGGAACTTAATAATTTTCTTGACTAACTGAAAAAAGGAAAACATTTAAACATTTTATATCAATACAAAAGGGTAGCAAACTCATGATATATCACATTTTCCTTCCCTCACCCCTTTGTTTAGAGGCTATTCTGACCATAAGATAAAAAGATAAAAACTGAATTACAAAATACAAGAATAAATAATTTAAGAAAGAATACAGTTGGTTGATTATGTCATAAATAGAAATAAAGAAACTTTAACAATGATTAACATTACAAATGAAACGATTTGACATACAATCAATAATCACAACATAATGAACTAGCCTTTGATGAATACCATTACTGAACATCATAAAACCCTATAACATATATGATAATTCTCACAATAATATAGAAAACAATTTGATATCCATCAAAAAACGAGAAACCCGTTTAACTCAAATTCCAGAAAGAGGAAAAAAACATACTGAAACTTTAAAACACTGAAGTAATACATTAAATAAACGATTTGATATACAACTTAAATTGCAAGAATATTTTCCATAATGCATCACTATACCAATGAAATAATATTGAACATAGATCATGTAACATAGGGGAAAATACTCTTTAACATGAAATTGTTCTGTTCACTGTCGTTTCTGCCAA